CTCAAATGGAAGGTCGTCCACATTCATAAAAGAAACGTGACTAAAGCTCAAAACTCACTTGGAACCCAACACAATAATAGTGGGAGACTTCAACATTCCATTCTCACCAATAAACAGGTAATAGAAACAGAAACTAAACAGAGACACAGGGAAACTCATGTAGGATATGGACCAAATAGATTTAACAAATATCTACAAAACATTTCACCCTAAAACAAAAGAATATATTTTCTTCTCAAGCACCTCAGCATATCATCTCCAAAACTGACTATGAAATTGGTAACAAAGTAAGCCTCAACTTAAACAAGAAGACTGAAATAATTCCATGCATCCTAGTAGATCAACACAAACTAAACTTGGATAGAATTCAGTAACAACAAAAAACAACAGAAAATCCACATACCTATAAAAGTCCAGAGGCAGATGGCTTTAGTGCAGAATTCTACCAAATTTTAAAGAAGAGCTAATACTAATACTCATCAAAATGTCCATCCCATTATCATTCTTAGCTTTGCTGTAGACTTTATAGTGTGGCATTTCCTCACTCACTACTCCCATTCTCATAAGACCAATGAACGCTCCCTGCTTTCCTGCCTTAATTGAGTCCTTCAAAACCTCCTTTTAGCTTATCTTCAATCCTAAAGGTCAGCTAAAAGGACATTTTTCTTGGAAATCTCTGTGGACACTGTTAGTGTTGGTGGGTTTTGCAGAACAATCATTGGAAGAAAGAGAGCAACTAGAAGGTAAATTTAGGCTTTTTCTCAGCAGGAGAGATTAGCTTTGGAAGGAATAAACCTTGAGTGTTTCATTGAAGATCTTTACATTTTTACACACAAGACTCTTTACTAAGTAAATTTCTGCATAACAAAACTTCTTATCTGATATAGGGGCTTAGCTGTAAGACCCATCACCTAAGCAAATTTCAGCCACAGGACACATTCTGGTTTGCCAGGGTCTGCTCTTGGATGTGCAAAGATTCTCAGAAACTTCACCTGAGTTGCCCCATAAAATCTCAGATAAAATGTCAGATTGTAATCTCAGATTACAATCACTGACAAAAGAAAGACTACTTCAAAGCTTAGATGGCAACACTCTGGATTCCTGTCAAATATAGAGGATCTGCAGCAAGGTACGCCTTTCAAGATGGTACAAAATTTCCTACAAGGCAATGCAAAGATAGGAACAAATACAACTTTGATAAAAACAAATCAACAATGATTGGTCATTTTTATGTCTGAATATCAGTGGTTTCAACTTCTCAATAATAAAAAGAAACAGAATAAGAGACTATATGTGAAAATAGAATTCATCCTTTTATAGTATCCAATGAGCATACCTCAAAGGAAAATATGGACATTACCTTAGGATACAGTGTTGGAAAATGATATTGTAATCAAATCTTCCTAAGAAGAAGGTTTGTGTATTCACATCAATGTGAAACAAACTAGATTTCAGACAAAAACCAAACTGAAAGTATAGGGAAGAATACTCTGCACTTATCAAAGGTTAAAACCCCATGATGACTTTTCAGTTCGCTCTGTGTCCTCAAAACAAGGGCACCAAGGTTAGAAAAAAAAATACTAGCCCTCAACATTGATAGTGTTATACTTCAATTTTCAGTTTTCACTAATGGCTAGCTCACGAAGGCAAAAATTAAACAGAGAAATATGGAGTGACCAAAATTGTAAACCAAACAAACCTAACAAATATTTATATTAGACTTCCCCAGAACATACATAGTAAACATTGCTTTCTACTTCTTATAAAAAATTCTCCTAAATTGACCAAATATTCATTTAGACAAAGAATGAATTCATAGAAACGTTTAGAATAAAATGAAATAATTATATCCAACAGTAGGAGACAGAAAGTCATATTTAAACTGTTGATTAAAACAACAAAATAAAAACAAAGAGATTAATACGAAGTCACAACATATACAAGGAAATTGAAAAAAAAATTACTGCATCCTATCCACATCAACATCAACAACAGAAAGACTACAAACTTATAGAAACTGAATAATTCTCTACCAAATAAAAAATGGATCGTGACAGAAATAAAGAAATGAAAAACTTTTTTAGAATTCAATGAAAATGATTACACAGCATATAAAAACTCACTGATCAAAATGATAGTCATTGAAAGAGGCAAGTTCAAGCTGGTGTTAGTGTATCATGCTTTTTATTTCATTATGAGGAGGCAGATGCAGAAGGATATATGTAATCTTGAGGCTGGTCTTGTCTATAGAACTACTTCTAGAAAAGCCAAGGTTACACAAAGAAATCCCTTTCATTAAACAAAACAGGGGTTGGGGGAAAGTTCATAGCACATAAAAATATTGACTGATTTCACAGTACTTATACCAAAGTACACAGTAAGCCTCTAGAATAATAAGATATAATCACACCCAGGAGGAGTAGATAGAAAACCAAAGTCAAACTGTGGGATTAAATCACTAAAATAAAACAAAGAGATTAATACAAAGCATGTCAATTAAATAAAAAATATGAATATGACCAAGAAGTATTCAAATCAATGAAAAGGGGAGAGAATATATTCAATTTACAAAATTAGAAAAGAAGAGGGGGATTAATAGTATAAACAGAAAACCATCTAGATAATCATAAAGACACACTTTAAAACCTTATACGTCTCCAAATATAAAATCTGAAATATATGGGCATTTTCCTCAATATATATCACTTTCTACAGTTAAAGAAAGTCAGAATAACAATTTACACAGAACTCTAACCAACAATGAAATAGAAGAATTCACTAAAATTCTCCCAACTTTGCTCCCCCAAAAAGCAAGACAGAAATAATATTAGGACAGAATTCTTTGAGACAATCCAAGATATAAGACCATTAATCTGATATTATCCCAAAAAAGAGAAACAGAAGAGACATTGCTCAATTCAGATTACGAGGCTATGGTCACCAGAATACCTAAGCCACACAATGAACTAACCAAGAAAGAGATTTATAGAATAATTTTTCTTATGAACCTTGGTACTAAACCACAATAAAATTGTTGCAAAGTCAATCCAAGAACAAATAAAAAATATCAACTACCATTACCATGTAGGCTTTATCTCAAAAGGCAAAGGACATTCCAAATACAAAAGTCAATAAATATATAAATGTATGTATTTGTGTGTCTATGACACATTTACACATGAAGTAAGTAGGAGAGGTATTTTTGAGAGTTTAAAAACACCCAAAGATATGGGGCTGGGGTACCTTGTGAAGCCAGTTTGGAAAATTACTTTGCTTTCCTATGGAAAAAAATTTTCATCTCATATATTTCTATATCCATATTTTAGCCTCATAGGGCAGCGGTTCTAGATCATGCACATGGATATTGTTGATATTTCAACATTTCAACAAAATTTAAAAAAGAAACAAGCCCTATTTGCCTCATTTTAAATCTAAATATGACGTACCACAACACTTAACAGAGAATTCCCTATGTTTGTGCTACTTTACCTGCATTCCATATCCACGGAGACTCATCATACTACAATTTTCAATAAACTCTTCAATTGGGAGTGCAGGTTCTAAAAATATCAAAAATAGATGAGTATAAAAATTGCATAAGAATAGTTTATTCATTAAAAACAGGTTTGCTTGCTACTTACTATTTGCTTCTAAGATTCTAAGTGTAAGAATTTTTCACAACAACTACTGGAATGTAAAATTAGCAAAATCAATGTAGAAAGTAAAGCATAAAGTAGAAGAGACAGGTCTAAGAAAGGTATTGATCTGTGAGAACTGAGGGTCACAGTTGGAGATAATATTTAGAACTCAAATAATTATTCAGGTAGTTTCTTATTAATATTCAATGAGAATATGAGTGCTAAGACTTATGTAAGTTTTGAAATAAGCACACAGATCTAGCATTCTCACTCTATCTTGTTGAATATTTGAAAAGCAAGAGGTCTAAGAGCAGGTCGATGACTGGATTATAAATAAATAAAATATTTAAAATTAAATGAATTCCGACTGGAGAGATGGCTCAGAGATTAAGAGCAGTGACTGCTCTTCTAGAGGTCCTGAGTTCAATTCCTAGCAACCACATGATGACTCACAACCATCTGTAATGGGATCTGATGACCCCTTCTGGTGTTTCTGATAACAGCTACAGTATACTCAAATAAATATATAAACATTAAAAAAATTAAATGAATTCATATCAACCTTCATGCTATTTATTGGAAGAAAGTAAAATTTAACTATACAGGAGAATATTCTAAATGAATTTAAAAATTAAGATAAACATGAGTTTAATATAAATAAAAATATTTAAGGAAATGGTAGGTCTCTGATGATCTGGATAGTTTTGGATACAGCAGGATTCAGGACATTTCAAGATTGGACACAGTTTTTAATTCTCAAGGCAATGTAAGTACAGACTTTGATTAGATATTCTGTACCTGTCACTGCTGTAGCTTTGTCCATACTGCATTCTCAATGGATATAAAATGCTCTAAACATGAGGCTGCTTTTCTCTCTATGGGGATTTGTAACACAATGGCCAGTGTGTAATCATGACATCAGATTTTGTGAATCATTCCAGAACCATTAATGTATGTCTCACGGTGGATCAACTAACAAAACCCATTGAAATTATTTAAGGTGTTCATATAAACAGATTGTCAGGCCAATAGGGACCTAATTTTCACAAAGAAGAATCTTTCCAGGGACATTAATTTCCACAAACATGTGTGATGTCATCCATCACACATATAGTAATCTATATTTATCAAACAAGTTTATGACATGCGCAGTGGACATCAGATGAAGCTCCTCAGGAGAGAGTGTCAAAGAGTCCTCCAGGGATGAGGAAACACCTGTTAAAAAGGAACATGAATGCAGACGTATCCATTTCCCTTAGACACAGTGTTAACAGTACATGGGGATATATTGATACTTGTTTGATTTGCTGATATGTTGGGCACTTCACAGTCAATGCAGCCCAGCCTCAGAGAAGGAAAAATATGTTCACCTTGATTTTACTATTCTTGCTTCTGAACACTCCACTTCTTGTGGCTGATTTTATTCATCCCAGGTGTTTTTGGAGAATGAAGCAGAATGAAGACAAGGATGGAAACCTGGGAAGAGGATGTACCTTTATGATTGATGCAGTACGATGGCCTGTGGAGAAAGAGTATTTCAGTCACATTTTGAATATAAAGTAAGTGCTTTTGTGTTTTCCATGTAAAGTCATCATGAATGTTTCCCAAGACTACTGAGAATGAGGAGAAAAGCAAAGCTATGAGTCTCTTATACTGTGTTTTCAAGACTACCAAACAAGAAAGTTCTGAATATTATTAGAGACTTAATGATATGTTACAATTTTAAATTGACACAGAGTATACGTTTTCCAACATCCTCACACTTACACTGATGGAAACTGAGCAATAAAAGAAATCTGGACCTTTATCCATCACATAAATACCGTTCCTAGACAGTTTTCTGCTCCATATTACAGTAGCCAATGGTATCTTATCAAAGAATACCCATAAATGTTCTATGACTTCATCCTAGGTGTTTAGGCAAATGGCCATAGAGTCCTTCCATAGATGGTTCTTCCATCACAGTGTAGTTTCTAGTGCGTGTGCTGAGGCTGTAAATGTTGGAGACACACACAGCTGTGCAGAGCTTTCATGTAGATATTCAGTTACTTTCTTAAATTTCTTCCATGTGTTTCCCATTTATGTACTGAAGCTACATCAAAATTTATCTACAAGATCTGCCCACTGTGAGCTTCATATTTTGATCTATACAAACTCACTGGGTTTAACATCTTACAAAGTCCAGTTCTTTACTCTCTCTTTAGAATAAGGAAGCAATTTACAGACTCTAAGGGATATTTTTGCATTCTTTGAAAAGTGATATTATTACTAATAGTGGTGATATCTCATTTATGAGAGATGACCTTCATGAACATTTCAAGGTTTTATGAATTTCTAGTTTCTTTTGACATCTTAACCACATTACACAGATCATTTCAATATTTATGGGGTGGGGACAATGCAATCTAGTACAGGATTGTCCTTTAATTGACTGCAACTGTTATCTGTAAATTGCTATCAATTATAAACATTGTAACTTTTTGCAGAACACATACTGTAAACCTCAAGTACGCTCTGGCTTTGGCTTTTTCCATATGTGAAATCAACAGGAACGCTGATCTTTTGCCAAATATGTCTCTACTATTCAAATTCTCAGCATACAGTTGTGATTGGGAATCACAATTAAATAATCTCATTCATTTGGGTTTAAAAAATCGTGATATTCTCCCTAATTATATGTGTAAAAAATTTACCAAATGTGTAATGGCACTTACAAGACTGAATTGGGCAACAACTGTGAAACTTCATACAATCCTAAACAACTTCATATCTCAGCAGGTAAGTTTTGTGTGTGTGTGTGTGTGTGTGTGTGTGTGTGTGTATTGCAGCAGGATGAGAATTTAGTCATGAAACTATATATCTGTTGGTTCCAGTCTGACTTTACTAGGCCTGGGCAAATCTATGTATTTCAAGGGTACTATTTATTCACAGACTTGATGGTGCTTCCACATTTTTTTGTTTAAAATATAGATGAAAGAGGAAATAATAACTAGCTGAGATTTCTAGAACTCTGCAGAAAAATGTGTATTCAAATTCTAAGAATTCATTGTACTTTGTGCTTCTACATGTGCTCTAGTTCCTTCAGGTTACTTATGGACCCTTTCATCCTGTCTTGAGTGATAATGAAAAATTTCCTCATCTATATCAGATGTCCTCTGATGATAGATCTCTAGCCCTTGCTCTGGTCTCCTTCATAATTCATTTCAGTTGGAACTGGGTAGGGTTGGCCATCTCAGACAATGATCAAGGTATCCAATTTCTCTCTTATTTGGGAGAAGAGATGGAAAAAAGTACAGTCTGCTTTGCCTTTATCAACATGATTCCAGTCAGCATGAATTTATATATGTCAAGAGCTGAAGTGTATTACAACCAAATCATGACATCATCCACAAATGTTGTCATCATTTATGGTGACACAGACAGTACTTTAGCTGTGAGCTTTAGAATGTGGGAATCTCGAGGCATACAGAGAATATGGGTTACCACCTCACAGTGGGATGTCACTCCTATTAAGAAAGACTTCACATTTGGTAACGATTATGGGACTTTTGCTTTTGGACACCACCATAGTGAGATTTCTGGTTTTAAAAATTTTGTCCAGACATTGAACTCTTTCATATTTTCAGATGAGTATCTGGTAAAGCAGGAATGGATGCACTTTAACTGTGAAGTCTCAGCATCTAAATGTCAGACACTGAAGAACTGCTTGTCCAATCACTCATTAGAATGGTTAATGGCACATACTTTTGACATGGCCTTTATTGAAGGGAGTTATGACATATACAATGCTGTGTATGCTTTTGCCCATGCACTCCATGAGGTGACTTTTCAAAAGTTTGATAATCTGCCAGTGGACAATGGCAAAGAAAACAATTACAGCTGCAAGAAGGTAATGTTTCTACTGTAAGATGATGTTTAGTGTTATCCATATTTTAGTTTTAAGCGTCTATAAGATGCCCAAATCAAGAGTGCTAGAAAATATTTTTTAAAATACAAAAAAATTTTACCAAGCAAGTAAATGCTGATATTAGTACAAAACTCTAGTCTTAAGGGAAAAGAGTAGAAGGCATAATGTGTCTATGTAGACCTGTGATTTTGTTACAGATTACGTGAATATTATCATACATATTCTAATACCGAAAACATATAGTGTTCATCCTCATGAGTCTGTTCAATGATGAGTCCTTGTTCATTAATTCTCAAGTACATTGTTATCATTGTAGGGTATTGTTATAAGTAGAGATCCAAAGTCATGCTGTTCCCACTCTAGGCTAGCAGTATCTCTTGGTGCTCTGTGAGTATTTACACAGAGTGTTAGAATTCAGTTCATTGCATTCAGGTGTGAACATATGTTTCTCACTGCATATTTTTATGTCTCTCTCTCTCTCTACACACACACACACACACACACACACACACACACACACACACACAGATAGTTATGAGAGAGACAGAACGAAAATGACACACAGAGAGATGTGCTATTTATAGACACTTTTTGCCCATCTGCCTATCTATATTTTTCTGTATGGTGGATTTTTTTCAAAATGTATATTCCTGGGTATAATTATCAATGCATTTTTTTCTACATGTCCCCATGTGTTTTGTGTGTTTTTGTGTATGGTCTTTCATTTTTTGCCTGTTTATCTATGTATGAGATTATAAATTTTTCTGTGTCAGTGTCACTTTGTGTCAGTGTCAGTACATGTCTACATCAACCTATGAATATTCCTCTGTGCATGTGTTTTCATGTGTGTGTAACTATGTGTTTTGTGTGTATCAGTGTCTGCTTGAAGTTTTTGATGCATATTGTGTCTCCACGTATATCTGTGTTTTCATATGTGTGTTTGGACATGTATGTGTATTTTTGTATAAATAAGTATGTGCTTCTACAATGTATCTCTATATGGATGCAAGTCTCTCTGTTTCATGTATCTTTATGTTTCATATTGCAAATATATTTGTTCTGTACATGCATGTTCATGCTTGACTGGTAATCTCTTTGAGAACTAAAATAACATCAACGTTATAATTTTGTACATCTCTTTAGATTCATTGAAAAATTTCACCTGCATATTGTCAATAAAGTTGACTTTAAGATGAAAGAAGAATATATTTTCTTACTTTAAGGAAGATACTATGCTCTATATTATGCTATCTGTCTTTCAGTTGTATGCGTCTCTGAGAAGAACCCAGTTCATTAATCCTGTTGGGGACAGAGTGAATATAAACCAAAGAGACCAACTTCAGGACGAGTATGACATTTTCCACAGTTGGAATTTCCCTCAGGGCCTTGAATTTAAAGTTAGAATTGGAATATTTAGTCCCTATTTTCCAAATGGTCAACAGGTACATTTATCTGAAGAGTTGATAGAGTGGGCAAAAGGAAGTACACAGGTAAGTTCAGCCTAATTGTGCTAAATTAAATTATACTGTCAAGTGTGGGCATCCAAACTTCCTTGAACGAGTAAAGTGAAATCGATTGCCCTATGACAGACTAGTTTCTAACATCCTATACTATGTTAATTTTTTCATGTTTATGTGACCTTTTAGTAATTCATTGAAGATTTCCAACAGGAATACAGTGTATTTGAATCATATCAGAACCTATTTCATGCCTTTAATAATAAATTAACAGTTCTTGCATTATTTCCAGTATAATGAGCAATATTCCTTTAGCAGTAGTACTACGTTAGTAGTTGTATTTCCATTACTACTACAAAGTGATTTCCAATTTTATGATAAATCTTTTTAAAGGGTGTTTAAAGAGCCTAGTTCTTTGTAAGAAGAGTAAATTCATCATAACCAACTCTCCAATTTATATTATATAATTTTAAGTCTTTTTAACAACTAATCCTAAATATTCAACACCTTTAGCTAACTATACATTAACATTTTGTGACAAATTTAGATACCTTATGAACTATACCTTGTTGTTTTCTGTTTCTTTTTTATGCTGGTATGGGTGTTTTGTCTGCATGTATATCTGTGCAATACATGCATGTGTAGTATATATACATAGTTGATGATTTATTCACATCTCAGGGAATTTGCCAGACCTTCATGCTACTCAGTGGGTGCTGGAAATTAAACATGGGTCCTAATCCTGAGTAACAATTGTTCTTGAGAATTTAGCCTCGTCTCCAGCCCTGAATCATAATTTGTTAAATATAATACTCACTAAAGGAAAGTTATCTGGCCCCATTCATTCTTGCATAAGTCATTCAAATAAAGAAGTCTGTGCATAGTTGCTTTCTCTATATGAGGAAAAATTGTCAGTAATAAAAGTTTGCTTTTGAGAAAATTTGAACATTAAATGTTTCGCATGCATGCTAGGTATAATATAGGCATGGATTCTGATGTGATCAATTTTAGTGTGTCATATTCAAACTGCCCTGTTTCATTTGAAGTAATATCTCATGTTGCTCAGATGGTATGAAATTTAAAGTTATTATTCTTCCTCAATATGATTAAGAATGCCATTCTTACAGACAAGAGCATAAGTGCTGAAAGTGAAGTTACAGAACTAAATATCTATTTAGAGGATTTCAATGCTTTGAAATCTCATGTGTATTTTACTTTATTTTTATTTTTTTATTGGACGTTTTATTTACATTTCATATGTTGTCCCCTTACCCCAACGCCCTCCCCCACCCAGGAACCCCCTATCCCCTCACCCCTCCTCCTTCTTCTCTGCAGATGT